TATCCCGAGAGGAGAATGGAGGAGAAGGGATTGCGGCGTGACCATCCCCCCTGGGGGGTGATTTCTTGCTTTCTGTCTCTATGTCTCTCTCTGTCTGGCGAGCGCACGAAAAAAAAAAAAAAAGAAAGAAAAAGAGACTAGCTCCCTCACATTCTCCCCTTGTGGATCATTCTGGAAGCAGCTGCACACAGCTCTGGCCTCCCAGCTGGACGAGGCAGGCCCAGCAGCTGCCCAGAGTTCCTTCTCAGTAATTCACGGCTTCCACAGGACCCCCTGGAGCCAGATGGGGGTCGTACCACCAGCTGTTCCCAGGCTCAGCCCCTGCTACCGGAGCCCCTCCTGCCTGCCCCTTTCTCACCGTTAAACACCTGGCACAGCAGGAACGAGCAACGGAGAGGGCTGGGAGGTCGATGGCAAAACTGGACCCCCACGGGAAAGGCTGAGTCCACGTCCCGGGACCTCCCTGAGCTGACTGATCGGGGCTGGGGGAGACTCAGGGTAGAGGAGGCCTGAGGGCCTGCTGGAGACACCACTCTCTCATGAAATAAACGTTTTCAAAAAAGAAACAACGACCATGAATAAATATTTCAATATTACCACTAAATGGAAAAGTGCTAACTTCAGCTCTCCCATAGGGCCACTTCGGTTCCGGCTTTTGCAGGTTTCAGAATGACGTAATGTCCACCCCAAGGAGTGAAGGCAGGCTTCCAGAGGAGACCAGCAGCACAAGACCCCTGCGGTCAAGGGCCTCCCCAGGAGCAGTGTACTATGGCTATGGGCCACAGGGCCCACTTCAGGAAGGAAAGGACCAGGGTGGGGGTTCCAAGATGGCCCCCAGGGGGCCCCAGGACTGGCCGGGTCCACACACCCAAGAGAGTGCCCCGAGCAATTTGCACACCAAGTCCCAGGAGCCTTCACTGCCCCACAGCCTCGTGGGGCCTTCCCAGCGATGTTGCAAGAAAGCAAAACTGCCCAGGCTCCTGGACCGCCCAGGGCGGCTGCTCCTGGCCCCAGGCGTCCACAGAGGCCCCCAAAGTAGGCCAGCCTCATCGGGGCTCATCTGTCTCCCGTCTCTCCATTTGTGCTCTCCTTCCTCCCTTCATTTTCTTGCCCAGTCTTCAATTTCAAATTAAAAATGGCTGGGCCCTGCCCGTTGATGGAGTCCAGGATGAAGAAATCTGCACATGTGCTGGACTGGCACACTCAGCTGTCCTGGCAACTGTGGAGAAGGCGGGGGGGGGCAGCGCAGCAGTGCAGTGGGAGGGCACCGGGGATGCGCTGCAGGTCCGTGGGAGGTGGGGCTCGGCTTCTGGTCCTGGTCCGCGATCCTGGCTGGGTGGGCAGCTGGGGCATGGGGGTGGAGTGTGGCAAGACCCGCTGCGGGGACCCGAGAAACAGATACAACCTGAGGCCACCTGGCCAGTCTTCTACAAACAGCTGCCACCGAGACCCCGCTGGGAGAGGCCTTCTGTCCCAGGCCGAGAGCCCAGCCTTTCCCAGCAGAAGACTGGGTGACTGGGGTACCACAGCCTGAACAAGGAAGTCCCCAACGGTCGCCGTCTCCCCAGCCACTTCATAAGCCCCTTCGTATGTATTTCTTGGTGGCTCCCTAGACCTCCCTGCCGGGCCTATACATCCGTTCATCCCGCGACTCCTCACACGTTTATCACTGTCAGAAATGCAGAGAAGCACCCTCTCTGGCCAGCCCCTCTGACGTCGCGCTCCTGTGCAGATCCCCACGTGCATGCTCTTCCCTCGCGTATCTGCATCTGACCTGTGGTAGTCTGGTTTCCGGCCTCGGATGGAAGAGCCCACAGAAGACCTGACAGGCATGGGGTGTTACTAGGCCCCGCACGTGGGCCTAACAGTGAGTCTGGGAGTGGGGAGACGCAGGTCAAGACTTCAAAGAATAGTCACCCCTAACATCTAATAACACCCCTGCCCGCCTGCGACACTCTGGCATCAGTGCTGACATTCAGGGCCCCTCGGCTCCCCGGGCACCAGGAAGACCTGCTAGACCTTCCCTGAGTAATGTCAGCCACGTGGGACCCTCGCCTCGGCCTTCGTGGCAGTCCCTGGGTCATTTCTAGACAGGGAATGAGACTCTTGACTCCTGCTCCCCATTGCGGTGGATGGTGGATGATGCTCTGGGTGGGAGGGCTGGGCTGCGGGACCAAAGGGGCGCCCACACCGTACGGGACAGCCCTCGTCCTCAGACGCTGCAACTCAGCCCTCACACCTGGGAGCAAAGTGTGCGTCCACGGCAGGACCAGGCGCCTCCTGAGGGCAGACCACACTACCCTGGGCTGTGGGCTCTGCCTGCCCTTCTCAGAGCCACACGGCCCGAGATGGCAGCTCGGGGTCATGCGTGACATGGGCAGAAGCTGTGAGCCTGGCAAGGGTCAAAGGGCACGTCCCCGTTTCTCAGGTGCAGAACATGTTGCTTCCCGCTGAGCTGCCCCAGCACCCCTCGCACGTGCTTTATCTATTTCTTTAAAGTGTGTTCATTTTATTCATGATAGAGAACACGTATGCATGCATGAGAGAGACAGAGAGGAGGGACAGGCACCCCACAGGGCCCGTTACACCACCATCCCCCTTCCCTGGCCTCCAGCTCCTCGGGGTCCCGGCATGTGCTCCTGGGGTACTTTCAGGTGAACCCAGGACCCAAACCTGCGGTGGACCACGTGGCTTCCAGCAATGAGACGCTGTTTGCAACCGCCTGTGCCACCCAGCTGGGCCGCCACATGTACTTGTAAATTATGAACGGCACCCAGGATCCACTAGGTAGGACACAGGAGGGCAGTCGGGCAGATTCGGAGGTTCTGCTTCAAGGACCCAGTAGCTTCCAGACAGGTGCTCGCTCACCCATCCCTCCGTGGGCTGGCCAAAAGTGAGGTCACACCTCAGTGTCACATCACGTAGTCAGGGGACTGGGCAGGCGTAACATCCCTACTTCCGCCATCCTCTAAAACTGGTCTGCGGCCCGACTCTCACCAACTCCTGGAACCTTGACTGTGCCCACCGGCCCGTCCCGACTCTACCTACATTAAAGCCTGGGCAGGCGGACGGGAGCCACTGCCTAGACGCGCTCTGCGGGCTTGCACGTGCACTTGTACGTGCAGGCCAGGAAGCAGGCGGTCTTAAAGCAGAGCGCGGCTCCGCCCGCCTCCCGTGTCACCAGGAGAGGCCCTCCTGGACCCATGAGGAGGCAGGATGTGTGTCGTGAGTGCCCACCCCTCCTCGTGCTCTGGAGCGTTCGGGTCAGAGCAGGGGCCGGCTGCTCACTCCTGCGGGTCAGAGCAGGGGCCGGCC